CAAGCAAGGAACCCGGGATTTTCCTAAAACAGTCGGCTTCAAAGTGGTCGCCACATAGCCTCGAGTGCTCATTAACTGGCGTGTTTGTTCGCCGAATTTTTGCAAGCCATTTCGAAAGCAGTTATTTGTTCTCCTGCGGCAAGCGATGCCAGGACTTTTTGATTTTCATGTCTGAAGAGGTTGTACAGCCCTAGGAATTACACCATTGAGGCATTTCGAACAAAAAGTGAAGAAAACAGACGAGGGGAATTGATTATTTCTCTAAATACCAACAAAACATGCGAAACGATCACCCCAAGCCTCGGTTTGAAGCTGCGAGAAATTGTTTTGACGTCATCGCGCATAAGTCCTATTTGCAGGTGCCTGTGTATAAAACAAGACAAATTCATAGAAAAAAAGAGGACCTCAAAACGTTAATAAACTTTGCGAATTTTCATAGCTTTTCATATTTCAGAACAGTTCGACTTTTTTTTATAATCGTTCGTGCTATGGTTTCGGTTATATCATAAATTTTTATCTCGATAACTTCACCTACCAGCTCGCAATTGGATTTGTTTTGAATTATATATAATTAGGACTTCTTCACACGCGCTCCAAATGACACAAACACGTTGGTTAAGTTAATTAACTTTTGGTTTTATTTGTCGAATATGGCTGGTGGTTCATTCACATGAAGAAAGAGAATTGCCCAAGTGTCATTGCTCGCTCGAAAGTTTAAAAAGAAAACTAATAAAAATGCACTCACAGTTTGCTTAAATAACCACTCAAATTTCTTACACAAAAAAAATTTAAAGCATTTTCGAGAAGCCGGCAGGAATCTAAGAAAGGTAGGTTTATGGACATTTATTTTTTCATCCCTCGCAGCGAGGCTTTTTCTAAACGTAGCCAAAAAGTATTTCAGAAATGATCACAGTGTTAGTTCTCACTCATTTACTCAAAAGAGAAATATTTTGGCTTGCGAAGAAACAAAGAAAACGCGTTCATTTTCCAGGTCATTAATTAATGTTAGAGGTAGGGGAAAAAATTGTTGTTGACAGCGAAGGAAAAGTTTCCCAAAGATATGTCCTCATATAACTTCAGCACAAGGAAAAGAACATTTATTACAGTGATCTTGGGTGATCGTTAATACCTTGTTTCAATATGAAAGAAAAAAAAAAAATAAAAACAAAGAAAATAGAAATGATGAACGTCAGTTATAAAGGTTTGCCAGTCTCATTGCTTTTGCAAGATAATGAGGTTGTTCAAGAACGTCGCAAATTTTTAAAGGGACATTGACGGTTTGAAATTAACCCTCACCAAAAAATTAGGAAAGCTGAAGGTTTGATTGAGTGCAAACTTCTCAGTTCCAAAATCTCGAGAATTTATGGCAGACAGTGAGAAAAATTGAAATTTAGATCTTGGAAGAGATCTTGCGGCTCAGTGTTGTAAGTGCGCTCTGGGAGAAATTTGAAAGAATTTTTTAGCGTCAGAAATGAGAAAATTTAGACGCGTTTATGTTCATGTTCATGAGGAAATACGTAACACTGTAAAAATTTCTCCCTTGTTACCTACAGGGGCCGTATTTAACGGTTGTAAAGTTAACATCTAGACCAAAAATATTGATTTTTGATATTTGTTGCTACCCAGGTTCATGCAGTAATACTTTGATGCTTTGGAATACGATCAAATTCCCTCGATGAAAGCATGCATCAAAAGGCCAACATTTTATCTCACAAGGATCTACCATTTTAGAAGACCTTAAAGAGTTAACTTTTCAGTGATTATAAAAGTGACTCTGTAACATCCTTATGAAAACTACAAGTATTTGTGTGTAAATGAAACCTCTTTGTAAGTCGATTTGCTTGCTCGCTCTGCCGGTTGAAATTGCATTTAGACGAACGCGTAAATAGTAAAACGACATTTTGCCGCAAGGGCAGCCTTTTTTCAAACGCAAATGAGTAATTTGATAAACTTGGTTTGTTCGCTAAGCGAAAGACCTTTAAAAAGCCAACTACCTTTTACAACGGATATTGTGGATTTTGTTTGGTTTTTACCTGCCTCTTGTTCTTCTACCACGTTCATCTTGAAAGAAGTGCAAGTGGTAGAGAAATATCAAACTAAAAAA